TTAAAAATAATATTTTAAAAAAAAATAACTGAGAAATGAATATGTCATGAAATAAGATTAAATAAATAAATAAATAAAGATGAAATGAAAAGAAAGAAAGAAAGAATTAATGAAAAGAAAGAGGTTGACGAAATTAAATACCAAAGAATAGTATTGAAAGTGGAAAAAAAAGAAAAAAAAAGAAGATACGATGCGTGAAAGAGAAAGAGAATTAAAGAAAAGCAGTAAAGAAACAAAGGAATCTAAAAATTAAAAATAAAGAAAGCGAGAAAGAAAGGAATAAAGGAATGAAAGGCGGAGAAACGGAACAAAAATAAAAAATGAAACTAAAAGGGGGGGAAAGCGACTCGAAAGTGTTTGGACGAACTCCTGGTTGTATGGGTGATATATATATATATATATATATATATATATATATATATATATATATATATATATATTTATATATATATATATATAAATGAGTGAATGAAAAGAAAGAATAGTTGATGTAAATTAGTCGATGATTTGGTCGTTCCTATCCCTGTTATTTGGAGGTTTTTTGTTTTTGTTTTTTGTTTTGTTTTTGTTTTTTTTGTCGGCGGTCGGTGGCCGGTGACACCTCTTCCCTTTTAGTTCTTTCGACGTGAATCGAGGTAGCGTCCGGTGCTGCCACCACCAACAGATACCGGCATCACCACCTCCACCGCCCAGGCCGCCTCTCCGACTGCCGACTTAGCGCAAGAACAACCCGAAGATGAAGAAGAAGCAGGAGGAAGGGCAAAGAGGGGGAAGAGAGGAAGAAAGAAAGCAACCAGGAAGGAAGATGAGGAGAAGGAGGAGGAGGAGTCTGTCGTCGTCGTCATCATCATCGTCGTCATTATTACGAGCATTGCTCTAATCAACATCATTGGTAACAAGCTTCAAACCGATAGCGCAGTAAACGTATCATCATCATCGTTAACAGCAGCAGCGAAGGGAATCACTGTCTCCATAGCCGCCGCCATAGTCGTCGTCATCGTCGTCGTAGCAGTCGTTCCCGCCCACGCTGAGGATGGCGTTTTCTTTACAATGTGTGAAAATGTCTTAATTTTTACTGATTTTCTTCTTCTTCTAACACATAGAAAAAATACTTTCTAAGTTAATTTTTTTTTTTTTCTTTCTTTTAAAGATTTTTTTAATGTGATCCCTAAGTTAATTGTTCGTTTTTTTTTTATCAAAGATTTTTCTTTAAAAATTAATTTATATTTGCTTCCTATTTATTTTTTCTTTTATCGCGACAGTCAATTTAGATTTAAAATTTCATTTACGTCTTTATCGATCACACTTAAAAAAAAACGACCAAATTCTTTTTTTCTAAACTCATCAAATTAATACCAAAGTCACATTCAACCCTGTCTATTTGTCATTTTTATCTATTCTCTATTATTTTACGTTTTTTTTTCTTTTTTTTCTTTCTTTCTTTCTTTGTCTGAAAAAGTTTTTTAGGGGGGGTCCTCCTCCTTCTCTTTCTCTTCCCTATCGTCTGCCGTTCTCTTTTCTTTCTCTCTCTCACGCTCTTCCGTTTTTTTTTCACTTCACCACCACCTCCAATTCCTTACTCTCTCGCGCGCTACTACCCCTTTTTAGTTGTTTTTGTAATCACTAATAACCATGTGGGTTAGCGGAAGTCTGTAAAAAGAAAAGAGAATCCGTCTGTATAAACAGCCTATTTGCGACTGTCGTGGATCCGGTACTTTGAGGCCGATTCCTCTCGCTCATAGCTAAACTGACATGACTCTCCATGGTTACCTCAACCCGCCACTCATTGGTCAAGGGAATAGTAAGAGTAGGAATTCTGAAGAAACGTATAGCAGTTGCTGGTAAAGACAGAGGAAAGAGGGGCGCACAAATAATAAATAAATAAAGAGATGGAAGGAGGAAGGGGAGAGAGTGAGTTAGCTAATAGTAACAACAATAATCGGTAGTTGTAAAGAGAGAACTAGTGGTAGTTGTGGGACCTGTTGTAGTAACATTAAAAAGATGATATAGTCAAAATAACGTAATGTTAGGAATTATTGTAAGTGTCCATGTATCGGCAGAGATAGCAATATCCTTTATTGTAATTGCATCAGTTGTCATTATTAGAGTTGTATTAATGCTCATCTTTCAAATAATATATATAGTAACCTTAAGAGTAGACACGATGAAGAACAAGGCAATGAAATATAAACAGCATCTAATACCTACAAAATCGCCCAAGTTTAATAAATAAAATAAAAGAAAACTGAAGACAATGCATAAAGAATTATGCCTAAGATGTGAAAGATAAGAGAGTCCAACAACACCGAAAAAACTGCGTTGATTCGGTATGAAGAGACTTGAAAAATTAGTCAAGCATGAAGAGCTAATTGCACGGTCGAAAATTTGCAATAGAACTATTAGAAATAAGAACTAGACACTCTCAGAGGAGAGGTTAAAAAGTGGAAAAGAAAGGAAGGTTAATTCGAAGCCAATTGAAGGAATTGAAAAACACATGGAAATGGTTGCGAAGAGGACATCTGAAAAGGGAAAGTGAATCTTTATTAGTGGCTACCCAAAACAAAACCATGAGAGTCAATTACATATAACCCAAAATAGACAAGATACAGGAAAATAGCAAGTACATATTTTGTCCAGAGAGATATCATCAATCTATATCTGTAATTCTCAAAATATGTGTATGTATGTATGTATGTATGTATGTATGTATGTATGTATGTATGTATGTATGTGTGTGTGTGAATGTATATATATATATATATATATATATATATATATATGTGTGTGTGTGTGTGTGTGTATGTGTGTGTGATCGGATGTTATTTATGCATTTCCACAGTTTTTCATCCGAACGCTTCGGCGCACGAAGCTGAAAAATGATGATCAAGGACTCAACGGCTGAAGAGAAACGCCTCTTCAAATGCTGCTGCACGTGAGGCTGAAAAAAATGATTGAGAACGCAAAAACGGCCCTTTTAGATTCAAATTTTAACTCTGCATTTAGGGATGTGTATCAGTTGCAATCCAATTGTTGTTATTAATATTGTTTTTAGGCGGGCTGACTTTAAAGTTAAACTGCTCCAACTGAACGGCAAAATCCCAAGTAATGAAAGACCCAGTCGAAGGTGGGGTATACTGCTAGTCATTTCATTAAAAAAAAAAAGTAAGTTAGCTTAAAAAGTGTACGCATGATTGGGTAGGAATAGCAATTCAATGGGATCTGAGGAAACTACAATTATACCCCAAAAATATGCATAGTAGAATCTAAAATTTTCAGATTTAAGTAGATCACCCGATTCAGGTGATGAGACCAAATCCTTTTATAGCAAATAATCATAATAAAAAATAGATATTTGATAATGTTGTTCCAGCAGACCAAATGATAAAATTAGGGGAAAGTGAAAAAACTCGACAACTATTTAGAATGAACTATAAAATATTATAGAGCCTAAAATGACATTTGTGACCATCATTTTAGCAGCACTTGAAAACTTCCCAAATAATCAGAAAGACGGAAGGAGACAAGAGACCATCTAGATACAGATTACTGAAACCAGATACAATATTAAGAAGAAAATCTTTGAAATAATGAAATTTACTGCCGCCCAATATTCAGAGTAAATTATCAATTATTCTGGGTGTGAATACTTTGAAGAAAAAAATTAAACAGGGAACGTGGATTATGTAGATGAAGAGAATAGACTTTACTCATTGCAGTACGAAAATAGATACAATTTGATAATTTGGATGGTCTGAAAACTGTGCAAACGACAGAGGTTTTGCTATATAAATCAATAATATATACAGAAACTAGAATCGATCTTAGTGAATAAAAGCAAAATTTGACTGAGACATTTGTGCTCAACTGACTATTCAATCCATATTAGATAATCAGTTTGAAGTAAATAAATTTGTTCACGAATGGATAATTCTTACTAGCAAACGATGGGATATATTTGAAATAAGGAAAAAATTGGAAAATACCAAAACCTTATGAGAGAACTAAAAATGATCATAATGATGACAATTGTGCCTGTAATTACTGGAACACTTGGAACGGTCTTGTAAAGGAGTCGGATGAACTGGAAGTCGTTGCAAAATGACGGATGGGGCATCAATCGTAAAACCAAAAAACATATCGAGGAGATTACTGCAATGTGGGGGGAGAAAATCTTCTGCAATTTGATACCAGTAGATGCCAACAGACACGACTGATATTACAAAAAACTAAATGATTACAAATAACTGAGGTGGGTAGACCTACTGTCACTTGATCTCTAATGAAAGCCTGTAAAAAAAAATCTGTTATAAAAAATTCACCAAAAAAATTAAGCCTTCAGACGATTTATTTGTCTAATATTTATTTCAATATAAACCTCTGCTGAAGGACGCTTTGTCCGTAAATTACAATATGTACGTTTCAGAATTTTTGCTCTCTGTTTTAAAGGTAATTTGTCATTCTTACTTTGAAATCATACTTTATAAATGTACATATTTTGCTCACTTTTTTAGATTATGAATATTATTTTCAGTTTTTTACTCCTTTATGCCATCTTTGCTCATAGAATGTTATTTTAAATTAAAGAAAGTAATAATCGTTGCATCGCTATGGATAACTGATTTATTTTTAACAGTAGTACGTAATAGTTTATGATTTTGCTGTTATTGTTTTTGTTAGCACAAACCCTAGACACACCACTATCAGGATTGTTGTTGCTGGTAGTAGTGACAATAATTACAATGATGATGATAGCGATTTTAGAGGTTTGTAAAGTGTGAGCAACACAAAAAGATGAACATATACATACATATATACAGATAGATAGATAGATAGATAGATAGATAGATAGATAGATAGATAGATAGATAGATAGAATAGATAGATAGATAAGAGAGAGAGGGGAAATGGCCAGAAAGAAAGGACAGAATGTCATCAATCAGACATATGATAGGTAGTTATATGACTAAATTGAAAAGCTGCAGCTTTTTCGATGTTAAATCCTAGAATATGATACGGGAAAAGAAAGAAAGAAAGAAGAAAGAAAGAAGAAAAAAGAAAGAAAGAAAGAAAAAAGAAAGAATGCGCAAAGGAAAATCTGAAAAGCAAAAGAAAAAAAAGAAAAAAAAAAAACAAAGCTTTGTACAGAAAAAGAAATTATGGAGAGGTAACACTGACAAGACAAGTGTAATTTTGAAAGGATACTGAAAAGAAAGAAAGAAAGAAAGAAAGAAAGAAAGAAAGAAAGAAAGAAAGAAAAGAATTTGGAAAAAAGAAAGAAAGAAAGAAAGAAAGAAAGAAAGAAAGAAAGAAATAAAAAGAAAAAAGAAAGAAAGAAAAAAGAAAAGAAAAAAAAAAAAGAAAAGAAACTAAAATTTGAAAGAAAGAAAAAAAAGAAAGAAAAGAAATGAAAAAGAAAGAAAGAAAGATGGATTGGAAAAAGAAAGAAAGAAAGAAAGAAAGAAATGAAAAAAAGAAAGAAAGAAAGACAATTTGGAAGAAAGAAAGAAAGAAAGAAAGAAAGAAAGAAAGAAAGAAATGAAAAAAAGAAAGAAAGAAACCACAATTTGGAAGAAAGAAAGAAAGAAAGAAAGAAAAAAAGAAAGAAAGAAGAAAGAAAGAAAGAAAGAAAAGATGAAAGAAAGAAAAAGAAAAAAGAAAGAAAAAGAAAAGAAGAAAGAAAGAAAGAAGAAAATAAGAAAGGTGGGTAAAAGAAAGAAAGAAGAAATGAAAAAAATTGAAAAGAAAACAATTTGAAAAGAAGAAAAAAGAAAAACTGGAAAAAAGAAATGAAAACTTTTCCAGGAATAAAACGAAAATTTGGAAAAAGGATTTAAAAGAACAGGAAAGAAAAGCAAAAAAAATTAAAAAGTTCCAGAAAAAATGGAAAAAAGAAATAATCTGAAATTAAAGAAAAATTAGGAGACTTAAAAGAAAAAAACTATGAAAAGAAAAAAAATAAAAGAAAAAATGAAGTCAGAAAAGATCAAAAAGAAAGAAAAAAGAAAAGAAAAAATAAAGAAAGAAAAAGAAAAATGAAAGAAAGAAGAAAAAGGAAACAATTTGGAAAGAGGAAAAAAAAACTTGTCTAAACCAACAAAGAATGAAAAAAGATAATTTGGAAAGAATTGAAAAAAGAAACAATTATAATTTGAAAAGAAATTAAACAAGTTTCAGAAAATGAAGTGTTGAAACTTTGTTTTTATAAGAAAAGAAAAAGAAAGAAAAAAAGAAAAAAAATACAGAAAGAAAGAAAGAAAGAAAAATTGGGAGTTTTAAAAAAAAACGAATGAAAGAAATCAACAAAAAAAAAGGTAGAAAGAAAGAAAAAACAAAAAAGTTTTTGGAAGAAAGAAAGAGAAACAAAAAAAGAAAAAAAGCAAAAAAGTGAAAAAGAAAAAAAAAATTATTTTCAATGAAACAATAAAAAAGAAATGAAAGTAAAAATTTCGAAAAAGAAATAAAGAAACAAAAGAAAACTGATCATTGGAAAAAAAATTGAAAAAAAAAAAAGAAAACAAAATTAAAATGAAAGTATGGAAAGAAAGTTTGAAATAGGAAAAGAAAAAGAAATAAAATAAAATTTCACGAATAAAAATTAGAAACAAAAAAAGAAAAAAGAAAGAGTGAAAAAAAGAAAGGAAAAAAATGTACGAATTTGAAAGGAAAAAAAATTAAATATAAGGAAAGAAAATTAAGAAAGGAAAGAACAAAAAAATGAAGGAGCAAACAAAAAAAAAAAAATAGAAAGCGAATAAAAGTAAAATGAAAAAGGAAAGTGGGATTATGAATACAAAGAAAAAGAAAGAGAAAGAATGATGAAAGAAAGAAACAAAGAAAGAAATAAATAAAATATACTAAAGAATAAAAAGAAAGAACGATGTTTTAAAAAGCAGAGAGAAGAATGAAAAGAAGAAAAGGGAAAGAAGGAAAGAAAAAGCAGAAAGGAAAGAAATGAAAGATGGAAAAGAAATGAAAAAGGGGCTTTTAAAGAATCAAAGAAATAGAATGAAATAAAGAATTCAAAAAGAGAGAGAAGAAAGAAAATGGAAAGAAGGAGAGGCATGAAAGACTAGGAGGAGAAAAAAAGAAAAAAGAAAGAACTGCAGAATCACCGGGAATGGAAAGGAGAAAATTAAAGGAAGGAGTATGAGGATTGAAATTAGAATAGTCGATCAAAGGAAACTTTGTGAAGTTTTTGGTGCCACCAGCGGGGACTTTTAGAAGAGTTGGATGAAAAGTACCTGATTTGCTTTTGATAAATTGAAAAAATAGCGATAAGAAGGAAAGGATATAAAGAATAAGAGAGGAATAAAAGGAAAAGTCACAACCATCACCGTTTGTCAGATAGAATGAAAAAAGAATATGGTAGAAATGAAAATAAGAAAAGGAGAAAAAAAACAGGAAGAAAAAAAATGACAAAATGAGGGAAACAAAAAAAGAAAAAAAGAAAAATTAAAGAAAGAAAAGAAAAAAAAAAAAGAAAGAAATAAAAAGAAAAAATGAAAGAAAAAAGGAAAATAAAAAAAGAAAGAAAGAAATAAAAGAGACAAGAAAGAAATAAGGAAAAGAAATTACGAAATAAAGAGAGAAAGGGAAAAGAACGAAATCTAAAGAGAAAAAAAGAAAAAAAAAGAATGAAAAGAAAGAAAGAAAGAGAAGAAAATACAAAAAGAATTTCAAACAAAAGAAAGAAAGAATGAAAAGAAAGAAAAAAAGAAAAATGGAACTGAGGGAAAAGAAAAAAGAAATTGAAAACCGAAATAGGAAAAGAAAAGAAAAAAGAAAGAAAGACTGAATGGGGGAAAGAAAAGAAAGAAAAGACTGAATGAAAGAAAAAAGAAAGAGAATGGGGGAGAAAAGAAAGAAAAAAGAAAGAAAGAATGAAAGAAAGAACGATCGAAAGAAAGAACGATAGAAAGAAAGAAAGAATAAAATGGAAAATAGAAAGAAAAGAAAGAAAGAACGAAAATAGGATAGAAAGAAATGAACTGTTCAAAAGAAAGAAAGGACAAAAAGAAAAGAAATAAATCAGATGTGAATTTGCGAGAAAAGAAAGAATGAAAGAAAAAATGCCCTGCTAATATCTCATAAATAATTTACTTTCAATTTTATTTTAAGGGAAAAAAAAACATAAATTTTGGGGGAATTTTAATGAAAAAAAAGAAGAAAAAAAATGCCCCTTTTCCTAAAAATTGCTTTTAATTTTTATTGAGCCAAAAAGAAAACATACCATATGTGAATTTAAAAAGAAAAGAAAGAAGAAAAAAAATTCCTGTAAATATCCAAAAAAAATT